GTAGCATTGGGCCTGTTTTATTGTTGGGTTTTGCACAGAAAAAATGATGTTGATGGTTTGGCAGATCCTTATCATGACGCCAGTTAGGGATCCATTCTTGGTCCTCATGAAATCGTACCACATCTGAAACGGGTCACCTGATTGTGAAAAAAACTCTCAGGTTTTCCAATTTGCATGACCATGTTTGTCATTTTCAGGATCACACAAACAATATCAATTTTTGTGCAAACATGTTCATTCAAACACATTAGCTATATTATATAGAGAGTGTAACGCAACCAGGTCCCCAAAATACGTGGTTCTGAGCTTTTTTCGAATATTTTATATGTGTTCATCTTTGATCATATGAAAGATCAAAGTTCTTGGGAGATGTACTGCTTTGGTGTGTTTATCCTTAGCTCTATTCTTGGCTGCTTGCTTTTTGTAGCTCTATTGGTTTTTAATAGGTGGTCTTAGTATATGAATGGCAAAGTTCTTTGCGCAATACCATCTTGAAACATAGAGATTCATTGTGTCAGTTGGTACTTCATGTATATATCAACTACCTAGGTTTACAGCTATTGCAAAGACGGTATGTATATATATACATACATATACATAGCACTTTGTATTTGCATTGGTGGTTTTTGCTATTGGACTGCCAGGTCGCCTTTTGGATGACACGACAGTTCCAGTGGAACTCTTTTAGCAAATGAGAGTGCAAATTCCAATCTACTGTCCCTGCTCAAGTAGTTGCAACATTTTTTGCATACTTCATGGTAACTCGCTGCATCAATGCACAAGCAAGGCAGCCATTCTATAGATACAATTGTTTGGTAAGGTTGCTTAAGTTTTAAGTGTTTCTTTTACTTGGTTTTGTGCCCTTCTGGTTACCATGATGAACTTATATTGACATGGTTTAAGTTTTACCCACAGTCATGAGTACATTCATGGTACTGATTGCTCACGTTAGCTTTCCATAGCCGGCCGTTAGGGAGGGGCCATATATAGGAGGCCGAGGAGAGGGTGGGGTTAAAAAAAAAACAACAAAGTTGTTGTTTTTTCTTGGACCCCCTCTACCCTGAGGGAAGCAATATATATATACATACACACTATATTTTTTTTCCTCCTTCCTTCCTTTTCCCTGGGGATCTTTATGGCTCTCTGGACATCTCTGGCAACCTCTGGGGAAGTCTAACAATATTTGGGGATCTCTAGCAATACCTATAAAGTGATTTCCAATGTGTTCAAGGTGCTTCATGTCGGTCCTTTCATGACATAATTAGTAGCATTATCTACTTAAAGGTATTGAACATAAATGATCAAACATGATGTAGCAGAAACACTGCATTCTTAAAAACGTGGAAGAATGGGGACCTGACAGCGTGCCTTTCTGATTATATATATATAACTATTAATATACCTGGAAAACCGTATGGACAATTTTGTCCATTATGGGTTTTACCCGTAACGGACGTTTTTTTTGTTCAATTGCGTATTTTGGTTTTTGATTGTGAAGGGTTGTTCAAGTCCTTTGACAACAACGGGTTCGGACATCCTCCGACAGTCTCCAAAAGAGGAATTTCAGCCCGAAGTGGAGCAAGTTGGGAGTTGTGATCGGGTACCCAAATCTGGCCACAAATGCTGCCATATTTCCCACCAAAATTCCATGTACCCATAAAACACTAGTATTTTTTTCAACATCATGTTGAAAATAAAACAGTAAGCAGATGTCAACATACTGCACCAAATACTGTCTCTAGACGAGACACTCATACTGTCGGAACCAGTCCGATGAATCCAAGATTCAGGAAAACTATATATTGATCTGAGGGTTTGCAGCCGGGCATGGCCGTATTTGGAGAAAAAAAAAAAACGTAACGGACAAAAACAATGGCCAAACCCGTACGGACAGAAAATGTTGTCTTTATGGTTTTCCAGGTATATATTATATAATAATATATTATAATTTTACCTAGAGCTCCCAAAACCTCTGAAATGGTTGGTCCATTTTGAAAGTACCGGCTTTTACGTACTTTTTATCAAAACAGCAGTTCCCCTGCAAAAACAAAACAATATTTTTGCAATAAACCTTCATTTTGTGTGTGTGCCCTTGCCTTGCCAAGCGTGTGAGGTCATATATTGATTTGCTTAGTTTGCAGACACAGCCACTGACGACGAAATGAAGTGAAAATCACAGATCAAAACTAACAAGTAACCAGTAACCAACCCATGCCAGCTAATATCAATAGAAGGGCAGGATCAGGCCTCAGGTTTGCGTAGAAAGCGGCTGCGCTATTAGAACTTGAAAACCAATGTGGATTCAAACTTTGGATCTTCGAGTGGGAAAATGCAGTCGATTATTGCTATTCAACCCTTTTTGTTTCGAAGCTGGGAGATGACAATTTGGACATCCAGTGTGCGATTTGTTCAAACTTCGTTTTCTATGCCCCTGGGATGGTGAAAACATGGGAACCCCAACATTTTCCCGTACTTATCCCGTATTTACCGCGTACTAAACCCGTATTTTCGAATTTTAAATAAAACCCTGGCTTTCAAAAACCCGTACTTAACCCGTAAAAAAAAAACGCAATTAACCCGTGGGAACCCATTAAAAAAAATATGGGTGTTTGGGGTCTGGCCCGTAGGCTAGGGTTTTAAGGCCCACTGATGGTCTTTGCGCGGACAAATTTCATGAGAAAAACGGGTCGCTTGCTCATCGTGAAATGTTGTTTTGCAAATACACAATTCAAGTTGTTGTGTATGCTCCTGGTATGCAAAAAATGACATTGTTTGTCGGAGCATTTCGTCGATGGAAAGTTGTAGGGCATACATTTGAGAAATGTAGGAATAGTTTCCCAACAAAGTCTCTAGCCCGGCACGACACAAGACCACTGGCAGCATGCTGATAACTACATTGTTGATTTTTGAGCATCAAAGGCAAGACTTTATGGGAAAGTGCACTAATGGAAATTTTGGAATTCAAAAAACCTCGGTTTTTGGATAGAACATGATAGAACCCAGTTTTTTTGCGATGTACCTGCCTCTTTAGCGGTTTCGGGTTCCCTTGGTACAGGATGACAGCGAAACAACCCAATCTGATGATATTTCTTCGTTGTTGGGCCAGGATGCATGTTGTAGGTTGGCAAAGCTTGAAGAGGGAGAACTGTTTCAGCATACACTTCTCGAAGGTACCTCTCCCTCGGATTGCAGATGATCTCCCTGTGCTGAATTTCCAGCATCTCAGACGTTGTCAAGGTTGGCCAACAGAAACACGGGATTTGGTCATACCTACCTTTGATTGTGAGCTAGTTGTGAAGTCACCCGCCGCTGGTTTGCAAGATTGTGGCCTTCAATCTTGATCACTTAGGGCACCCACAGGTATCGAGAAGCAGCGCGCACCCATCAACACCTGACCTGATGTCACAGTTTGTGCAGGCTGTGACACCAATCAGATCAAATCAGATTAAATCAGATCAAATCAGAGGCCCCAGCCCAGCTGGAAGCGGGGCCCCTTGTCTTCAGCAACTCTTGGAAAGCCAGGTGTCAAATCTTTGAGTCGGAGTCATTTGGCACATGAGCTGAACGGATTGGTTTCGTCATTTTGCGCTTGGTGGTTTGGGAACGGGTACAAAAACGAATGGGGATGCAAAATCGACATCAACATATTTGGTTCATAACCAGGTGTTCCATTGGTCCATTCATTCTCCATCTTCGGAAAATAGAGGTTTGCAGTGGCTACGGCTACGGTATGTCAAAATGTGGGCCTCCAAAACTGTAAAGTTACGTCTATCAAAAAGCTCAGTGTGCTTCGGGGTCTTATATTTCGACTCAAGCGACGGATTCGATAAAGAAATTCAACTTGCGACGCTACCCCTCTTACTGGTTCAATGTCGAGTGATTCTCTTTCCAAACTCCGCTTCAGACACCCTTAAATTGCGGCTTTTGGTATTTCAAATGTCCATTCTAATTGCCTAAATCGTCTAAGTCGGACATCACTGCCCAACAGTGTCGCAAGGATGTTGATCGTGGCATCCTGGCATCCTGTATTCGAAACCAATTTTATGATTTCACCCTGGTTCAGCCACTGAACTCATGGTTCTTTGATTTGGAACCTCATACGGAAGGCAGTATCATTAGGGAATTCCAGAAAATTGGGCTGCAAAATGCCACAAGAATCCACAAGAGCCCACAAGAATTCACAAGAATTCACAAGACACCTATTGGGGCCAAATCTGATGTATGTCCTAAACAATGCATCCTACATTCCGTGGATCATCAGAACCACTAAAAAATGGCCAAAACCTGATATGCAAGGCACCATTTTTCGGAACCCCCAATTTCCCATGAAAAGTTGCAGGGGTCATTTTGGTGTATCACCCATAAGACATACCCAACATGCGAATACAAATATACTGACTGGAATGTTACAATGTTAGTAAAACGATGAACAACCCCCAAATTCACTATAAATGGGTGGTGTAAACTACCAAAATACGGCTGGTTGACTATTGTTTTTTTTGAATTCTGGTGTTGTGAATCTATCAAGTGAGTACCTAATGTAGTATGGACTGGTGGCAGCAAATTGATCCTACGTTTCATAAAGAGTCGCCCCGAAAAGAAACCCAAACATCATGCTGATGTGGGAGAAAAGAAAAACGTCCGACAGGAAATACAAACTGCGCACCCAGCTCCTCTATAAACCACATTTGGTGTGGATTAATCAATCCACTTCGAAAACTTGTTTGTTTTGATCTAGAATTTAAACATATGGAGGTTTCCTAAAATGGGGGGCCCCCAATCATCCATTAAAAAAACATTATGAACTTTTGGGTACCCCCATTTATGGAAACCCCAAAATCTAAACTATTCCATACTCCATACCATTCCTACATCTATCACATGATGCTGAGCGGCAGGTTTCACTGCCGCCACGTGCCACTCCTAGTAGTTCGGACCCGGGGGCATCAAACTCATGAAACGCTTCAATTTGGACATGAACACGTTGCCCTTGCGTTGCCCTTGACATTCATATCCAGTTTCGCCACAGTTCTCAACACCTGCACGAAAAAATGTTACCGAACAGCCGCCCAGCGGCCAGGTTTGAGCGTTTCAGCGATGCTTCCTGCAGGTCCATTGGGGTAGGTGTGGGTACCCCGTCCTTGACCCTTCTGGCCAGATATGCTATGTGTTTTCCAACACATGATGGGGTCGGAACTCCAAAACACTGAAAAGACTGGCATGCGGCATGGGTTGAAAAAAATTACTTTACTTCGTGTGATCCCCACCATGACATTTATACATTTTCTTACTGGCAAATCTTCTGGCATTCTATCTGACATATCTTCTGACATTCTATTTGGCATTCTATCTGGCATATCTTCTGGCATATGATCTGGCATATCTTCTGGCATATCTTCTGGCATTCTATCTGGCAAATCTTCTGGCATTCTATCTGGCATATCTTCTGGCATCTCTATCTGACATATCTTCTGGCATATATTCTGACATATCTTCTGGCATATCTTCTGGCATATCTTCTGGCATATCTTCTGCATATCTATCTGGCATATCTTCTGGCATATTTTCTGGCATTCTATCTGGCAAATCTTCTGGCATTCTATCTGGCATTCTATCTGGCATATCTTCTGGCATATTATCTGGCATTCTATCTGGCATATCTTCTGGCATATATTCTGACATATCTTCTGGCATTCTATCTGGCATTCTATTTGGCATTCTATCTGGCATATCTTCTGGCATATCTTCTGACATTCTTTCTGACATTCTTTCTAACTTTCTTCTGCACATTCTTTGTCCCATATCTTCCTAATGAGGTCCGGCAGGGAACACTTGGCGTGGATACTCGCGGTTGAGGTCCGGCAGGGAACACTGGGCGTGGATGGTCGTGGTTGAGGTCCGGCAGGGAACACTGAGCGTGGATGGTCGTGGTTGAGGTCCGACAGGGAACACTGGGCGGAGATGGTCGTGGTTGAGGTCCGGCAGGGAACACTGGAATGGATGGTCGTGGTTGACGTCCGACAGAGAACACTGTGCGTCGAGGGTCGCGGTTGAGCAGGAGGAGGCGGAGAGGAGAGGAGACGAGGAGAGGAGAGGAGAGGAGGAGAGGAGGAGAGGAGGACGAGGAGGAGGACGAGGAGGAGGAGGAGGACGAGGAGGAGGAGGAGGACGAGGAGGAAGCAACTGACATAAAATCTAACAACCCTCACCTGGCAGGTGGGGAAATAATCCCGGCACGGGACCCCAAACAGTGTGGGGGGGAGTGGGGGGATAATGTATTATAATGTGGATGATGATGACGGTGATGATGATGATGGTGATGATGATGATGATGGTGAGGTGATGATGATGATGATGGTGATGGTGATGATGATGATGATGATGACGATGTTGAGGAGGATGAGAATGAGGATGTTAATGCGGAAGATGGAGTGGAGAAGGGCAAGGTGCAGGATGATGATGTTGAGAAGGAGGAAGATCATGACGTTGAGGATGATGATGAAAAGGATGATATATAATGTTGCGGAAGATGAGGTGCAGGAGGATGATGTTGCGGAAGATGAGGTGGAAGCTGATGAAGTTGAGGAGGATGATTTTGTGAAGGGGGTGAAGATGATCATGTTGAGAATGATGATGTTGGGGAGGAGGAAGATGATGATGTGGGGGATGATGATGTTGAGGAGGAGGACCGATCCCAAGACCTAGGACCACACTTTGCGCGAGCCTGCGCAGTGGAAATGCACATCAACATGTCACAAAAGCCACTTTATACAGGAATTTACAGGAAAAAATGCCGTTCCCCAGAACCGCGGCGCAGACTTTGTGCGGGCCTGCGCAGTCGAAATGCACATCAACATGTCACAAGAGCCGCTTTATTACACGGAAATTTACAGGGAAAAAAGGCGTTCCCCAGAACAGCGGCGCAGATTTCGTGCGAGCCACAAACGCATGTCAAGGTTTCACCAGAGCCACTTTGTACGGAAATTTGCAGGAAAAATGCCGCAGCCCAAAACCACGGCCCACACTTTGCGCCAGCCTGCGCAGTCGAAACGCATGTCAAGATTTCACAAGAGCCACTTTATGCGGAAATTTACAGGAAAAATGCGTGAGACCAGACTGAGCACCCCGATCAAGCACCGGCCTTTACACCTACCGTAAGAACCCCTCAGTGTGGACACACTGTTTGGGGAAAAACAAACCATCAAACCCACAAATGTTGGCGCAGGTATACTCAAGTCACTCAAGTCTTGACACATATCCGTCATGGCTAATCTTCAAACGACCAGAAAGAAATGCCTGCTTCATTCACCCTGAAACCAAAATGGCAGTTTCATGTCGAGTCAATGGGGCATCAATGATAAACTTGACTTGGGTAGTTGCTATCATAATCCACAAAATATGCAAAGGATTGGTATGCCATGCTTTTTGTGGGTTTACTCCATTCCCAGAAACCACAAGAAAGACCGTGAATCGCCCCAAATCCACTGCATCATCTGATCATCATCGTTTTCCTACATGTATATGATTGTATATGTATTTTGTCCACATACAAATGGATATTATCGGCTATAGTTTTATCCTCATTCTGTCCCCCCAAAATATCACCATCTTCCCTGTTCAATCACCACTTCTCCTGGTAAAAGCCCCTTAAAAAGGCGTAATTCTCCCACACCCAACCAATATCAATTATTATTCATTAATTTCATAGCTTAAATCCCTGGTTCAATAATCTTCAATCCTTCTTGTTGGCTGCTGACACCGGCTGACACCTCCATTTTTACGGTTTTTCAAGGGACGGAAACCCCAGAGTTCTCCCGCACCCCGATTCGTACAGGCTCCGGTCCCAGCATCAGGATCCCAAATTCACCGAAACACCGAGGTGTTTCACCACCACAGCCAGGAAGCCTATGCCAGGCGCCCCGGCTAGGTGTGCCGGGCTTGGATGGGATACGGATCTGGGAATGGGTATCCCATGAATGAAAAAAACATCGCAACCATCGTATTTATCAATTTGTTGGGAATGATATGGAATTATGATGAATTATGTATAATCATACATACATGTTTTTTCTGAATGAATGGCCAATTGTCCCCGTTTAACTGGTCCAATGTCCCTGTCATGAAATGGGAAGTTCTCATCCACAATGAACAAGTATAACTTTGTGTAAACATCCAATGTTTAATGGTTCAATTGAAGGGAATCAAGATGGAGCCTCCAATTTTATGGGATTTTCCTACAATGAGCCGAATAATGTCAAAGCCTGTGAAATGCAGGAAGGGAAGTCTTGACAGGTACCCTGTTTCATCCCGTTTGGGTCCTCGATTTGTAGTTTACATGTCACGAGTTGTAAATGCAGGATGACAAATCCCGCCTATCTCTTGCTACTACTCATATCCTTCGTCTTTTGCCGGCAAAATCCCGGGATGCCACATTATACATCATTATAGACGGTTGCAATGACGGAGATTTTTTTCACTCAAAACGAGCAAAAGAAACTCCCCAGGTAAGAGGGTAAGTTGGGCAACTATAGAGATATAACTGAATCTAATTGAATCTAATTGACCCCCAAAAGTGGTTTCATTTATCTATAGGTTGAAGCAATGCAACCCTGAAGCGATTTCCATCAATTTCACAAACGTCAAGGCACCGCAGGGTGCGCGGGGCAGGCCATTCACTCGTCCGCGCGCCTGAAAAATGGTGCGCTTGAGCAACGGAAAGTGGCGACGTAACATGACTTACAACCTACCACATTGCTTTAAATACACCAGTAGTACCGCGCAAGGCGGTGGCGGAAGTTTCAAAAATAGGAAACCTATAGGAGGGGTTGGTTGTTGTGAATCACGGATGGCAGAGCGAATCCACTGATGGACCTAAAGGTGGTTGAGGTCTCCTCACTTTCTCTCTCACTCTCTCTCTCTATGATTATCTACCTACCTACCTACCGATCTATCTATCTATCTATCTGTCTTTCTTTCTTTCTATCTATCTGTCTATCTATCTGTCTCTCTCTCTCATCTGTCTATCTAACTATCTATCCATCCATCCATCCATCCATCTAATCTATCTACCTACCTACCTACCTACCTATCTATCTATCTATCTATCTAGCTAGCTAGCTAGCTATCTATCTACCTATCTACCTATCTTCCTATCATCTATCGGTCTATCGATCTATCGATCTATCGATCTATCTATCTATCTATCTATCTATATATATATATATATTCTCTATCTATCTCTATCTATCTCTATCTATTTCTATCTATCTATTTCTATCTATCTATCTATCTATCTATCTCTCTCTATCTATCTATCTATCTATCTATCTATCTCTCTCTATCTATCTATCTATCTCTCTCTCTCTCTGTCTGTCTGTCTGTCTATCTATCTTTAAGCTTGAAAACGAAGCTATCCTGCGAGACGTCCTCAGTTTTTGAACGTGACAACATCAAAAACGCAGCAATTCAGCGAGACTTCCTAATTTTTTGCACTTGACAACATCAAAAACGAAGCAATTCTGGGAGACTTCTTCATTTTCAAAGTTGACAACATCAAAAACGAAGCAATTCTGCGAGACTTCCTCGATTTTTGAACTTAGCAACGTCAAAAACGAAACACTTCTGCGAGACTTCTTCAATTTTGAACTTGACAACATCAAAAACAAAGCAAGTCTACGAGACTTCCTTCAAAAATGGAAAGTTGAGTGCAGCGCTGACGGCCTCGTACCAATCCGTTTTGCGATTTTTCCACTCCACCTGTCTAAAGTACTGCGCCTGCCACGAAAAAGTGATGCCAGGTCATACGAAGTGCTGCACCTGTCACGCAAAATCATCTCAGCAAACCTGGAGTAACAGCTCTGATGAACATGTCTCTTGTACTGCGCCTGCCACGGAAAATGCATCTTTGCAGATCCTCTTCAAATGCCCCACGCCTGCCATAGTTTGTGGAAATGCACAAAACCCTCACCTTTTGCTCACTTTTGAGAAGGTGCACAATCCCTTGCGCCTGCCGCGCGAAACGACATCTGAACCTCCAAACGTGGCGCGAGCATGTTGTGCTTTGTACATTTTGACTTCGAAATGTGCTTCGCGCCACAACGGCGTGCACTTTTTCGACATCGCAACTTCCAAAAGTGGTCCGATCGTAAGGTGCTTTTAGCTTTTTCACTTCGAAATGTGCTTCGCGCCACAACGGCTTGCACTTTTTCGACATCGTAACTGCCAAGAGTGGTCCGGACCTGGTGTGCTTTGTACATTTTGACTTCGAAATGTACTTCGCGCCACATCGGCTTGCACTTTTTCGACATCGCAACTGCCAAAAGTGGTCCGGACTTGGTGTGCTTTGTACATTTTCACTTCGAAATGTGCTTCGCGCCACAACGGCATGCAATTTTTCATCTCTCATCTGGCCAGATGGCTCCGCACCCGCCGCTTTAGCGAGCCTACTTTTCGACCCTCCGGAGCCACAAGTCATTGGAAAAACGCAGTGTTTCGAGACTTTCCTACCTTTTTGCGCATCTGCATCTTCTTTCTTCTGACTCTTTCTCGTCTCTGATCTTCTCTCTTCTACTCTTCTCTTCTCTCTGACTCTTCCCATCTCTGCTTTTCATCTGTCCACTTTGTCGGAAGTTTGACTTCTAAACTTCCTTCGATTATATTATATTAAAATATAATATATTATAATATATTATATTAAATTATATTATATTATAGTATGTTTTATTTTATTTTATTATATTATATTATGTTATGTTATATCATATTATATTATATCATATTATATTATATTATTTAGATTATACTAAAATAAAATATAATATACTATATATAATATAAAATAAATGATATATTATACATATGTTATGGTAGATAATATACAAATTATAAAAAAAACATTTTATTATATATTATGTTATCTATATTATATATATACTATATTTATTAATTTATAAAAATTTTATTATATATATTATCATATTAAATATATTATATTATATAAATAAAATATGTGATATATATATATAAAAATATATTATGTATATTATATATAATATAAATTATGTATATCATATGTTATAATTATATATTATACATACTATAGTGTACAATACGTATGTTTTAATTATATATAATATATTTATTTATTGTCCATACAATTATGTTATATATATAATGTATACTATATTTAATAGATTATATGTAAATTAAATGATATATATTGTATCATATTATATTATATGTTATAAATAAAATATATGATATATATTATTTACATCATATATATTATATATTATATATGTCATATGTTATATATATTATGTATTATATATGTCATATGTTATATATATTATGTATTAGATATTATATATGATATATTATATATTATAAATCATATAAAATATATATTATATATTGAATATTATGTATAACATATTTATACTATATAATATATACTATATATTATTTATTAGATATTAAAATTATATATTATATTTGAAATTATACATATTATATATTATATATAATATATTATATATTATTTATATTATTATATATATATATAAATATTATATATATTGTATATATGTTATATTGTATATTATATATATTATATATGTTGTATATACAATATATTGTATATTATATATATAAGATATATTTTATACTATTAATAATATATATATATATTAAATATTTTATATATTGTATATTCTTTATATATAATTATTATATATTATATATTATATATTATATATTATATATTATATATTATATATTATATACATTATATATTGTATACTATATATTATATATTATATATATTATATATTATATACTATATAGTAAATATTATATATTATATTTTGTATATATTATATATTAAATATTATATATATCATATTTTTCATATATATATATATAGAATTTTTATTATCGAAGGAAGTTTAGAAGTCAAACTTCCGACAATATGGACAGATGAAAAGCAGAGCAGGGAAGAGTCAGAGAGAAGAGAAGAGTAGAAGAGAGAAGATCAGAGAAGAGAAAGAGTCAGAAGAAAGAAGATGCAGATGCGCGAAAAGGTAGGAAAGTTGCGACACACTGTGTTTTTCCTATGATTTGGGGCTCCGGAGGGTCGAAAAGTAGGCTCGCTAAAGCGGCGGGTGCGGAGCCATCTGGCCAGATGAGAGATTAAAAATTGAACGCCGTTGTGGCGCGAAGCACATTTCGAAGTGAAAATGTACAAAACGCCTGTAGTTGTGTAGTTGTAGTTGTAGTGTTGTGGAGTGTAGCGTATTGTAGTGCAGTGAAGTGTAGTGGAAGGTAGCGTCGTGTAGTGTAATGTAGCGTAATGTAGTGGAGTGTAGTGTAGTGTAATGTATAGTGTAGTGGAAGGTAGTGTCGTGTTGTGTAATGTAGTGTAGTGCAGTGGAGTGTAGTGTAGTGTAATGTAGTGTAGTGTAGTGTAATTTATTGTAGTGGAGTGTAATTTAGTGTAGTGGAATGTAGTGGAGTGTAGTTGTAGTTGTAGTGTTGTGGAATGTAGTGGAAGGTAGTGTAGTGTAGTGTAATGTAGTGTAGTGTAGTGGAGTGTAGTGTAGTGTAATGTAGTGTAGTGTAGTGTAATTGAGTGTAATTGATTGCAGTGTAGTGTAGTGGAGTGTAGTTTAGTAGAATGTAGTGAAGGTGTAGTTGTAGTTGTAGTGTAGTGTAATGTATTGGAGTGTAGTGTGGTGTAGTGGTGGTTGTACTTGAAAATGTTTCAAAACCCTCACGTTTTGCTCACTTTTGACACGGTGCAAAATCCCTTGCGCCTGCCACGCGAAGCGACATCTGAACCTCCAAAAGTGGTCCGAACCCCAGGTGTTTTTAACATTTTGACTTCGAAATGTGCTTCGCGCCACACCATCGTGCACTTTTTCGACATCTGAACCTCCAAAAGTGGTCCGAATCACTGGTGTTTTTAACATTTTGACTTCGAAATGTGCTTCGCGCCACGCACTTTTTCGACATCTGAACCTCCAAAAGTGGTCCGAACACTTCGAAATGTGCTTCGCGCCACAACGGCTTGCACTTTTTCGACATCGTAACTGCCAAAAGTGGTCCGGACTTGGTGTGCTTTGTACATTTTCACTTCGAAATGTGCTTCGCGCCACAACAGCGTGTGGCTGTTTCGACATCGCAACTTCCAAAAGTGGTCCGACGCTGAGGTGTTTTGTGCATTTTGACTTCGAAATGTGCTTCGCGCCACAACGGCGTGCACTTTTTCGACATCTCAACTTCCAAAAGGGCTCCGAGACCCGACAGACAGATAGACAGGTAGACAGCTAGACAAATTATAGACAGATGAAAGAGAGAGAGAGAGAGATAGAGAGATAGAGAGATAGAGAGATAGATAGATAGATAGATAGGTAGAGATAGATAGATAGATAGATAGATAGACAGAGAGATAGATAGATAGATAGATAGATAGATAGAGAGAGATAGATAGATAGATAGATGGATAGATAGATAGATAGATAGATTAGATATGTAGATAGATAGATAGATAGATAGATAGATAGATAGACAGATAGATAGATAGATAGACAGATAGATAGATAGATAGATTGATAGATTGATAGGTAGATAGATCGATAGATCGATAGATCGATAGATCGATAGATAGATAGGTAGATAGATGGATCGAT